AGCTCCTTGCTGGCAGAGCAACAGCGAATTAGCATGCTATGCTGTGCACTTCAATTAAAGAGCAGCCTCATTTTTCCTATTTCCAAGGTACAGCAGAGCAAATCTAATTGTGCCATGCAGCCAGTTCTCATCTTTGCAGAGTAACCAGGGCTTTGGGGTTTTTTTGCTTTTTGTTTTTGACACGATTTGTCTTCTTCTGAATGAGGCAATGTGGGCTGTTATGAAACTTGCCTCCTAATTGCAGGCAATAAACATGAACACAGCCAGCAGCAGAGGCTGTAGCAAGTACAGTTTAAGTAAAATGAAAATAAAGGTAAAAAAGAACCACAAAGCAAGTTCATTTTACATATGATCTGAATAGTTAAATCACCAGGATCTGGATTTCAGTGCTCACAAGAGACATACACATGCCTCTTTCAATATAAACTAAAAAAAGCAAACAATCCCCAAATCTATGGCTTAAATGCTGAGATAGGCAAAGATTTTTTGTATTTTGGAGGTTAGAAGGTATGACTAATTAATGAGAAATATTTATAAGACAGGATGTTATTAACTTTTAAAATATTTGCTTATAGCATAAAGAATCTCTGTTCCTGCACTTAGCCTGAGATCTTTGAATACAAGACTTTTTAAAAAAAAAAAAACCATCTAGAAGCATCCTCTGTGCTCTGGAACTTTAACTGATGTGTTGCTTTCGACTTTTGATCTCCCTAGCACACTGACCATCTCACCCCAAGTGAAGAGATGGGTCCTTGTGCTTCCTTTTATCCACTACTCGTTTCCTACCCCTTCTACAAACAATGCGGATAGGAGTTGAGCAGGGTGAACCCACAGAACCAAAGAAATGTTTGTCTGAATGTCTGGAGGGCAGCTAGTCCAAGCTCCCACTCAAAGTGGGACTGGTGCCAACACCAGTTGAGGCTGGCCATGCCTTTGCCTGCCCGAGCCCTGAAAACTCCAGAGACGATGAGTGCACAGCCCTACTAGACAACATGTTCCTGTATTGCATCACCTTCTCAGTGAATTTTTGTCCTGATGCCCAACCTGAAACGTTCAGCCTGTAATTTGTGGCCATTGCCCCTTGGTGTATCATCCGACCCAACAAAGAATCCTCTTTCCTTCTTTGAGGCTACTCTTCCAGCATCTTTGCTCCTACCTTTCAAGTAGCTGTAGGCTGCTCTTCTCTTCCCTCTGTTGTTTTTCACTCCCCATTGAGCCAAGGAGATTCACTGATATTTTTGAAGACTGGATATCATTCATCCTAGTCAGTCTTACTCTAATGATTCTAAGTATATGCACATTACACTTAGTAGACCTGGGGTTTCATCTGAACAACAAAGAATGACACAAAACTTCACAGGAATGCAACAGAAAACCCAGATTATTGACTAAATTCAACTATTTATTCATTCTTACCAGAGCAGCTGGAGAGACTTGCTGACTTTTAGACCAAAACCAAAAAGGTAAACACTTAAATTTGTTGATTTCACATCACATTCAGTAACGGTTCTGAATATTTAATGCCACTTTTTAGAAGTAAAAAAAGAAAGAAATTAAAACATCTTTGCATGGTTTCCAGTGAAGAGACAAAAAGTGGACCACAAATGCAACACCACAAGTTAGACATTGGAATGAGAGTGCTACCATCTCACACGTTTGATTGATTTATTATTTTCACAATTTTATGCTGTAATTACTACAGTAATGAACTATAGTGGGAAAGCGATACTGGCATTTTTTAATAAACTGCTGTTCATCACATTGTCTCCATGTTTACTATTAAATGTTTTGTACACTTACATTACCTGATTCAATGAAAATCCATGCATTAGTGCTGTTATACCTAATGATGGAAATTCTATTACAATTTTTAATGATATCCAACTTTATAAACAGTTGCAGACTGTTATGAAAGAATACAAACCTTAACTTTATTATCATTAATCAGCATTAGTAAATATAATTGACATTTTATACAGAACCAGCTTTAAGTAACTTATTGGCAGCAATACAGATGCCTCTTAATATTACCCTCTGGCTAGCTATGCTGTTTGGGCGCCAGAGTGTCTGCACTAATGACTTGGAATTAAAATCAAATAAAAGCTGAGAACTGTAATTCAGCACAAATCAAACAGCCATGCTTAGTACCAATTCTCTGTCTATGTAATTTGGATATATCTGGAATTTTTAAAATTTACAGTGGGTATAAAACAGTGGAAGTGTTTGAGACTAGATAACAAAATAGGATAGAGAAAAAACAAATCTGATGTTCCCAGATTTCTACACTTACCCTTAGGCACACCGTAGGAATTGAAATGAGGAGAAAAAGTAGACAGTGTAATTAACCTTTCCTTTCCATTTTTTTTATAAACAACAACAACAAAAAGAGGCAGAATATTTCAGACATTATAAGTAGTAAAAATACACATACATGTTTTTCTGCCATTATTTTTCATCTCAGCAATTTCTGTAGTTTCCTGAGGATTTAATGTGCTCAGGCATGAAAAGGGACCTAATCCTTAAAAAATTTGCTATGAAGATGGGGATTATGTTATCAAAAAGATTTAAGAAAACCTGCTTCACAGTACAACCAGGAAAGCTGCTCTCTCTCTCAAAGCCTCATGCCATGACTTCTAGATATTGCGTGGTGGTTTTGTCCCAGAGCCTATCTGAGCCCTGCCTTCCCCACACCACCTATGCATGATCTATTTGGCTTCAGCTCTGGGGAAAAAACAAACAAACAAACAAAATTAGGAGTAGAGTCAAAATACTTCCTAGCACTTTTTTGTCTTACGATGGGGCCTCCAGGGGCCACCACATGCGGAAGCCCCCTGAAGGGCTGCTGATAGATCCTGTCGCACATATCATTATTTTATCCAGTTTATCCTCACCCTTTGCTTTGATAAACTACATTTGAAGCCACTATAACTTAATTTTAGCCAACTCTGAGGAAGAACCTCAGGATCTGGCCCTCTAAAGATGGCTTGTTTTACTCATTTATTTGTATGAAGGAGTAGATTCTTTTCTGAGCTCTTCATTTTGGTGAGACAGTTAAGAAAACACAATAATATATTTAAGCAAGAGTAGTGTATATTAAACATTCAAAAGAATATCCATATTGTACGGGGAAGAGAGAAATTTTATTATTATACAAACACACATGTATATATAATGTAATTTTCTTCCCGCTTTATGGATCTGATCTCCTCCAAGGAGAGTCACAAATCCACACGATAGCCCTGAGTGCTCGATTTTGCATTTGGTTCTCTGATTTTACAATAGCTGAAAGATATGTAAAAACTCATGTAGCCAGACAGCTCCCTACTGACTACACATCTAAGCAACTTCACATGCATATATTATTCCAACCACTGAAACCTGGAAATAACATATGCCTTAAAAAGGAGGCACTTGAAAGGAGCCTGTTTCACTTCTGTGTGAAATCTTCAGGGGTCTCCCCAACCAAACCGCACCCTTCCACAGTGTGCTGCCATCTCAGGTGGGGACAACCCAAACTCCTGAGTGACGTTGTGCAGAGTGAAGGGTGGGAATTGCTTCATAAACTTCAAAAATGGCTACTATAGTTCTTTGTTGTTGAAGGCAATTTAGGGAAAAAAAATAACTATTACCATTTCACTAGTCTGGTCCTGGAGCGTTTTTATAATTCTCTCTCATTTTTAATCATAACTGTGGTAAATGACCACTGGCCATGAAAAGCATCCAGGTTACTTTCATTAAATAGAATAATCTATAGCATGGAACAGATTGACATCATTTTGTTCACAGAAAATAAAATGTCCTGTGCACTGTGCCTGACAGTATTGCTATGATAAAGCTACAGCTGAAGTGTGCTCACAGTTGCATTGAAACAATTACAGCTCCTACTGCCTCCCTAACAAAAGTTTTAGAAAGTTAATAGGTTAGTTATCCAACCACACCTCAGTTCTTAAAAGTTTTGTGTTCAACCGAGGAAGTGAGGATGAATTAAGATGTCTACTAGCTCTCTCCAAAGGGATCAGCTGAGTAGTACGTGTTGATTTTAGGGCCGAGTTTAGGGCATGTAATCATGATTTCCACTCTGCATCTCCCTCCTCTTCTTTTTCCCCAAAATGTAGTAAGATGGAAAATCAAACAAGCTTCAGACTTCTGAAATTTTATGGTCTAGAAAACTCTAGAAAATCTCTCCTGGTAGAAGGAGAACCAAGATTTTTCAGAGACTTCCAAGTTCACCACATTTGGGCATGTTTCAAAGCCAAAACAAATTTCAAACCACATCCAAAACACGTAAAAATCTGAAAACTTCAAATGATATTAGTATGAGACTTGGCTTTTGTGCATGTTTATTTTCTTTTCATGGGCAAAACACCACACATTCTCCTAATGGAAGTCATGGGATGTATTGATGAACTCGGCAGCAGATTTCTACACGGCAGAGACATCAGGTGTGGATAATTCCAACCTAAACTGTATAAACCGTCAAATCTATAGGTTACAGAACACAGGCTCTTAAAAGAGAAGACATTAACTGTAGGTGGCACTACCAGAATGTATGCCATATTCCGTGATTCTAAAATACAGTTAGGTTCATATGCTAAAAATCATGAAACGAAACATGAGTATATCTCATGTCCTTCAAAATCAATATTGATATATGCAGTAGTTACCGGGTTGTGATCTAAAAGATATCTACAGGGCACTGAAATGGAAACCAACAAATTCTGTCCAAGTGCTTTTTGGAAATGATTTGTTTTCATCTTGTTCCTTGTCAAATACATAATGCATTTTTGTTCTCAGCAAAACTAAGCATTTTGTATATTCTCAGCTTCTGTCGTCTTTTTTTTTTTTTTTTTTTTTTTTGGCACTAAATATTTAAACACATTCAACCTAAAAATCTCAAGCTAGTAATCTGCTGCTTGTGTCTTCCCCCCGAGGTGTAACTATCAATGTGGTAGTGCAGGATTGCTGAAGAGACATGAAAGAGATTGCGGTTACAGTCCTACCTGCCCACAGGCCAAGCCCATGCCTCTCTCCCCCATGCCATGAGGACATGATAAATTTAACTCCAGCGCATCTGCACCAGCAACCTATGAAACATGCCAGAGAAAAAAAAATAAAATGCAAAATTGACTTCAAGTAATGTACTTTTTCCTGTAGCATTTACTGTTCATGTTAAATAGATTACTTTAGACATTCGATTTTTTTTTTTAAAGAGAGAAAGCTACAGTTATGATAGCCTGAAAAAGAAATGTGTTGATTGTTATAGAGAAAAATTTCAAAACCTGATGTGGCTTCCCGAAATTACAAAGGAAATTAAAGTAAAAAATAAATTAAAAAGAGACAAGCACAATAAGGAGTTGGTTCTGGAAAACGTTAAAAAATGAAATGTAATTACAGGGCCACAGGGCAGCACTGAGCGCAAGGTGCAGCACCCAGTGTTACGCAGGTGCTTCTGTGCTCTGAAGAACTGTGACTCAGTAGTCAATGTCTCCTTTCTGCTTTAATGACTTTAGTCTCTAAATTTTCTGCAGGTGCCTGTACTGTGCCATAGCTTTTGTCATTAAATATTTTTGCTTCTGGAGTCAAACAAGAGAGTATTAAAAAGTCTACACAAACATATTATTCATGCTAATTTCTCTTCAGCACTCTCTATTAGTTACGATTAAAAAGGCAAAGGAGCC